CAGGTTCACCTCGGCCCTCATACTTAGTATCTGTCAACGCTAGTGGTGGTGATCTCGGCGATTCGAGCCGGGGCATGACTCATGGTCACCTTAAGGCACCAATGGCTGTCCTCCACGTGTCCAGGGTATTCTTTCCCCCAAACAAATTTCATAAAGGCTGGGTTAAGATCTGAGATCTTCTGCCACTTCCCCGTACCACCGAAGTTGTTGGGAAGCTTGCTTCTCTTTGTGGAGATCTCGAAGATCAGGAGGAGAGTATCTTGTTCGGGAGCTCGTGGTAGGAAGATGTCTGGATTAAAGTTTCCAGTAAAGAGAATGGTTTCATACCAAAAGGATGCTTCCTAACCTGTGAAAATGCAATTTTTTTTGTCAATTTCATGCTGGTGTTCCCTGTTGTTGTTGTCGGAGAAGACGAAGTTGGGTGCCGGAACTCAGAAAAGGTGAGGCTGACAGGAGACGTGGCCGCCCCTACGCCGCTTCTTTCATTGCCCAGTTTGGGTAAAAATTCAAATAGTGAGAAGAGGGTTTTAAGTTTGGTTACAGTTGGTAAAAGGAAAGGGCCTTTGGAAGTAATGGGCCATTCTCTTGTAAATGGGCCTGACGGTTGTATTAGTTTTAATAGAGATACCTCAGTTGGTGAGAAATCGGCTTCTCATATTGGGATGAAGGCAGAAGCTACTGCTGGGCCTTTCTTTAAACGGGATGGTGGGCCGACGGTGAGTTTTGGAGGCTTGAGTGATAGGAGGGTGGGTTTGGTTGCTTCTCCCTCAGCGGCGATTCAGGTTGATACTTCTGATTTTGGTTTGGCTTCTCCAACATTCGAAGATGGATTCCCTTTGTCGTCGTCGAATCCTTCGATCGCTAGCTTTTCGAAGGATGACTCTTTTTTATTGTCGCCAGTGCTGAGAAGTTCTGGCTCCATCGGTTTGGACGGGTCGCTCAATGGTTTGTTCGATGCAGTGGATGTTTTGGAGGGAGACCCGAAGCTTTCTACGGTGCAAACAGTTTCAGAGGCTGGTGGTTCAGGCAAGTCTTGGGAGACCAGTCCTCGGGTCCTTTCAAAGGAAAATTCGTCAGGTTCGAGTCAAAGTAAGGCCGCCCAAGGTAAAATTGCCGGGGTAAGTATTTCCTCTTCTTCTTCCATATTTCCTAATCCTCCAATTCTGGGTTGTATCCAAGGGGTCGAAGGCGGTTCTATTTTGTCGTCTGTGTTGGGGGAAGTGGGTGCGGTTGTGCCGGATGTTCCTGTTAGTTCTTTATCGAGGGTTGGGGGTGTTCAGTTGTGTGTTTCTTCTCGCCCTCCAAGTCTCGTTTTGCACCTCAGTTGTTGCAGTGCCTTTGACTCGTCCTTTGGGGAAGGGGGTGTCGGCTCCAAATCCTTTGACCATGGACGTAGGTGGATTGAGGGAAGGCCAGAAAAATTAGTTGATAACCTCTTAAAGCTTCGATTTTCTGATGCCGGTTCCTCCAGTTTCAATTTTCAGGCACGTCTCCTTAGTGAGTGGTTTGGGTGGTGTTCCCTTCTCTCGAGTGTGTTTCTTCAGATAGTCCCTATGGAGGAGCCTGGCCCTGCTCAGGTGGTTGAGCCTCCTAAGAGAAGAAAGGGGTAAAGTTAGTATCCAATGAATTTGTTGGCTTGGAACGTGAGGGGTTTGGGAGGCAAGGAGAAAAGGAGATTAGTAAAAGAGCTTCTTCGGTTAGAATGGCATGATCTAGTGAGTTTGGTGGAGACTAAAAAAGAAATTTATAGCAGAGAGTTTATTAAAAGTCTTTGGAATGATCGTTGTGTTGAATGGGCAGGGGTAGGGTCGTTAGGGGCCTCGAGGGGAATTCTCCTGTTGTGGAATAGTAGGTGTCTCTCGGTTGTGGAGGTGGTGTGGGGTCCTTCTCCATTCAAAACGTGACTATTCAAATTCTACTGTAGAGTAATAATGTCTTGTGTTTGCAAGACGTTTATGGGTGAGGCTTCTCATTTTCTGCATGAATTTCTAAACGGCCTTCCAAATTCTCAATAATGATAGGTTTAAGCCTTGGAGCCTTCTTTGTATCCAATGAATGGATGCCAACTTCATTGCCTTCCACATTAATGATTTCCACCTGCCTGCCGTCTTCCTTTGTAAGTGTAGAAGGGTTGCTCTTTATGGACTCTCCATCTTCCATAATTTTCTGATATCTTTGAATATCCAAAGTGTTTGAGAGGTTTTTGTTCAACTTCCTCTTGAATTTTAGACTCGAGATACTTGTGAAATCATTTACAGCAGCCACATGATCCACAAAATCCATTTCTCAATTTTCCTACTCGGTGAAGCACGTGTCTCCTCTCTCTTCTTGCTATGATTTTCAAAAATCCATTCTCAATTTTCACATGAAAATTACCTATCTTGTGCCATTTCCCATTTACCAAGTCTAACCTAAGAGGTATAACATCTTCAAAGCTCAAAAAATCCTTATCTGCCATAAAGGTGAGGGGTTTTAATGGTGCTGAGTAGAGCTGCAATTGCAAGGATTGCTGTTGTTCTCTTTATCCAAAGTTGTTCCCTCTTTGAAAAGGTTTTGAGCAATGGTTCTCAAGTTTCTGTGGAATTGGTGTGTCCAATGAATGGAGGGGGAGGTTTCAGCCAAGTCATTATGTCATCCAGAGCATCTTACTTGCTTCTCGTTGTTTTTGGTTATTGCTCCTTTTAGATCCTCAATCTTTTGTTTGGCGGTTGTTATGGCTTTTCTTCAGCAAGCGGTATTCTTCGGATTTGCAAATTTTGAAGTTGAGAGTTCTTCAAGTCTCTATTCTTACATATTTTTGTTAATTCTTTGGCATTAGTCTTTTTGGTGTTGCTTTGGTAGTTTGTAGTTGGTGGTCTTGTTCGTTGGTTCTTTGTTCCTTGTTGGTTGCTTTTCTTCTCTTTTCGCTTCCATAAGCTAGTATCTTTGAACATTTTTTTTCCTTTCCATATTATCAATGAAAATTTTGTTTCTTGTTAAAAAAATAACAGGCTGAAAAGGTAACTGTGGTATTTCCAATGAGATTTAAGGATTCTATAGACATTGCTCTTGCGACTTCTTTTCTCCAGGTAAGGTTATAATTGATTCGCCCAATTAAGTGAGTAGATGTCTGCAAATGGTACCTTTAACTTTCTATACAAAATTAGGGTGTCATATATTTGTGTATAATGCTGACTAGGGTTTCCTTTGCAGGATATTCTAATGGTTGTAATTTTATCGATGGCACTTCTAAAGTTATGCTTCTAACTATGTAGGATAACATATTTGCTTCAATTAATTTGTGAAATTTCACAATATGTCTATTCAGGAATTTGTAGAAGCAAGACGAACTGCTGGACTTAATAATGCTCCTCCTTGTTCATGGTCTCCATCTACTCCTCAAGAACTGAAGGGAGCTCCCAATGATGCATTATCAGCCAATGCAGGATTTGTGACTTTTGGTAATATTTGAAAATAGTGCATGTTTTGCAGGATTTTTCTATTGCTCTAACCGCACAATGTCTTTATTGAATGCAGTAATTTTCCCTCGCCATGTAGAGGGAAAAAAGGTGGACCGTGTAATTTGGAGTTTGTCAACGTTTCATGCATATGTTAGTTATCATGTTAAGGTTTGTTTATTTATATTATATTGACCTAAGTCAATTTTTTTAATCATGTACATTCTTTTAGTAGTTCACTTGCTACCTTGAAAATCCATAACCAAATGAAACATGTTTACTTTTTGATACAGTATCTGTCCTAGGCTTTGCGTGTAATGGTTAGCTTTGCTGACCATTGGTTGATGATGGCTGTGCAGTTGATTTTTTTTCTTTTTTAATTAACGGAAATGAACCTTTTGTTGATAAATGAAAAAAATACAAATTCCCATTGGGAATGAGAAAAGAAAGAATCCAACCAAATGAAGCAGCCTAGATAGGAGAGTAAAGCCCCCAATTCCTACAAATGTAAATTTTATTTTAACAAAATCAAACCGATCCCCTGAGACGTGCTTTTCTTTATTAATTCTCTGATTTAAAACCAAGTCTTTGAGATGGAAGTTTGATAATGTTAATCGAAATCAGTTACTTTATGATACAGTATTCTCTTAATAGTGAATTATTAATAGTGTTGTCTTCTGAATCAAACACCCACTTAAATTGAATATTCCAAAGAGAAAGTGCCAAATGTCCATTGAGTATGGACAGTTGAAGAACAAATGATTTTAATTTTTTTTTCTTCTTGACAAGAAACGAACTCCTCATTGAAATAATAAAAAGGAACATAAATTTTCAACGGATTTTGATCCTCGTTGACCAACAAATAAAAAGAACAGACTTATTCAAGCGATTTTAAGAGGTGTTATCACGTACTTTTTGTCCCTTTTTAGAGTTCTGGCATCAGTAAGAGTTTGGTGAAAATTGTGAGAAATTTTTTTTGGGAAGGGGGTTGATGAAGGGGGTGGGGCTCACTTAGTCAATTGGGATATTACTTCTAGGCCTTTGGATGCGGGGGGGTTTGCGCATTGGGAACTTGAAACTTAGAAATGAGGCGTTATTGGCCAAATAATTGTGATAATTCTTTCAGGAGCCTAATGCTTTGTGGCAGAGGATTTTTTTTTTTTTTTTTTTTTTGTAAGAAACAATTTCATTGATGTATGAAATTACAAAAGCCTCAAATTGAGGGATTACATAAAGCACTTCCAATTTGCTAAGAGGGAAGTGTAGCTATAGTAATGAAACATAGGGGAGGATTTACACCAAGTAATGACTATGAATACTATAGCTTCAAAAAAGATATCAAAGGGGAGAGTTTTGTCTGTGAAGATACGTTGATTCCGTTCTCTCCAAACGTTCCAAAGAAAAGCTCTCATGAAGTTTTGCCAAAGAATTGTCTTTTCCTTTTTGAAGGGGTGTCCTGTAAGGGTAACTTCGAGAAGGAGGGGAGGATCATTCGGTAGTGCAGTGGTCCACCCAAAAGTGCTTAGGATGCAGTTCCAAAAGTTTATTGCAAAGTGACAATTTGTAAAGAGGTGTTATTGGGTCTCGTTGTTTGATTTACACATCACACACCAGTGGGAGAGAGGGCCATGTAGGGCATTCTCCTTTGAAGCTTTTCACTGGTGCTGATAGCACGATGGCTAAGCTCCCAAAGGACAATTTTCACTTTTTGTCTTTTATTTTACAATTTACAGCAGCTGTTTTTTGGAAAAAATAGCCGTTAAAACTTGCTGGATTTGCTAAAGAGCTAGCAGTTATGACATAACTAACTACTTTATTTAGTTGTTAATAAAGTAGTTCAGTTAGTTAAGTGTTAGTTGGGATAGTTGTTCTGTTGGTTAATTGTTTGTTATAAGTTTCCAACGGTTAGTTCCTTAAAACCTTCCTTATAACCGTGGGCCTAATGTCTGGAAAATGTTGCTAAGGGCAATGATGATGATCAACTCATTCTAGATGCTGTAGCATCTGTTTCGCCCCACTCCTTCAGTACTAGACTTCTAGCTAGAAGAAATAAAGATTAATAGGACTGGACTGCAAGATATGATGGAACACATCTCTCAACAACTTGAAAGCTTAGCCACCAATCAACCAAGATTTGAAGAAGAGAACGTAGACATCAAAGCTAGCAAGAAAATCTAGCACCCACATTCATCAACCGAGAAAATAAGGAAACCAACATGCTGATTTTCTAAGAAACTATCGCGATCAAAGAAATTAACCAACCGATAACCCAAGAATCCAGTAAAATCAGCACCATCATGGGTTTCTACTCACCCATCCTCCAAGAAATCAGCAATACCAAGAGAGAATTACTAACCCACCCCTCGGTTTTGATTCACATTCATCTAGTGAAGAAGAATTTCCTCTAAGAATGCCTCAATACCAACAACTAGCACCTAATTTCCCACCTCCCTATCAAGAACACTACCAAGATTATCCTCAATATCGGGGAGCAAGAATGGTGAGGAAATTCTGAATATAAGATGAAGATTGATATTTCCTAGTTTCAACGGAAGAATGAGTATTGAATTTTTTTGGATTGGGTCAAGAATGTATTGAACTTGTTTTACTACATGGGAACCTCAGAAGAAAAGAAGGTCAAACTTGTGGCCTTAAAACTCAAAAGTGGAGCCTCTGCATGGTGGGACCAACTTTAATCGAATAGAAGGAAATACGGGAAGAATCCTATTCAGAATTGGCCTAAGATGTTAAGGCTAATAAAGAAACATTTTTTACCTAAAAATTATGAACAATTATTGTATAACCTATTCCAACATTGTAGGCAAGGTTCATGCTCAATTGAGGACTATACCGATGGTTCCATAGACCATAGGCTTGGTGCAAGAAACAACTTGGCTGAAACAAAAATCAGCAAATTGCATGTTATATCAATGGCCTTCCCAATGATATAAATTAAAAGACTCACCTCCAACCGATGACATTTCTTGCTGAAGCCATTTAAATCACTTATTAAGTGATTGCTCGTATTCTTTGGTGTGCTGGTACCATTTTTTTTGTGAAGTTTGGTTTACGTTGGGTCTTTTCAAATGACTCAAAGTGTAACCTCTTTTAGAGCTTCACTTGCTATGGTTTAACAGAGTCAATGCCATTATTTCAGAGCTTTAGTTGGAACACAATCAGGGATATTAAAAACAAGCTTCGCAATTGGATTAATCGTTGAGTTAGCCTCTTTTAGAGCTTCACGGTGGGGTGTTCTTCAAAATTATTTGTGGATTATCATCTTCAAGATATTTTTAAATTTTTAAATTGGAATGCTTTTATGTTTCATGTTTAATTTGTTACTTTTTCGTTTGGGTTCCTCCTTAATTTGTTTTATATTTTGATTGGTTTCCTCTTTTTGGAGTTGTATTTTGAACATTCGTTTCTTTTCATTAACTCTTTAAGGAGGAGAGCTAAAATTGGGATTCTTGATTATATAAGGGTAGTAACTATTTCTTTCATGTTTTGCATTGGAATCTTCCATTATTAAGTTCTGAATAGTCATATCTCCTGACAGTGTTCAGAGGGTTTTATGCACACACGGATGCGACGTCGTGTGGAGTCTCTGATTCAGGTAGTATTCCATCATCTTTCATTTGGTGCATCTTGATGTTTGAGAAAATTGTCGGATCAAAATAATTTGAAATAGGATTTTGTGACTTTTCTTAGGATTGTTTTGGGTTGTGAAGTCCTACGTATTATTTTCGGGTTGTTTGAGGTTTTATTTTATCAATTAAAAATATCATTTCCTTGTCATCAATAATAATATCATTATTTCTTTTCTTCGATCAAGCTTTTTTTTTTCTTTTTTTTCGAAAAAAAAATACATTGTTTCATTCTGTAGGCACTTGATCGTGCCAAGCCAGATGCAACTAATACAGGGAAAAAAACACACAGCAGATCCTTCAAACGGCTGGTTAGTGACGGGAATGCTGGCTGATGATTGGGGGGATTTCGTTTTATGCTTTAATTTAATTCACTGCAATATGCTCGTGAGGAAGCACAAAAAAATTGAATCCCATAAAAGCCTTATAATATTGTGGAAATTTTGCAATACCAATTTGCTGGGTGAGAGGTCCTCTGTTTTCTCCATGATTGTTCCAAATTTTGTTTGGAAGGCAGTGAAGCGTCCCTTGTTTCAAAGAGAGGAGGACGGGTTATTCACATTTCATTTGTATGAAATGGCAATTATTTCTCTTTGCTCCTATTTGTCTTGATTAAAGTAGGAATGGAGCTTGAGAAGTGAGTTGCACCTATCATATGTGATTATGCACTAAGCAACTTAAAACGAATTGTTTCTGGCCATGCCAACAATTCCTATTTCATGTTTTGTTATTATTATTTTTTTTCCCTTGAGAAAACAAAGCGCTGCATGATAATGTTCTGCTTAAATTTGAACTTCTGGAAATGAAGTGTTCTGCCTGATAATTTGTATCTTAATTAATTGAGTTTTTCATTTTTTAAATTCAACTATGGGAGAGTAGGGATCAAATTATTAACTTTTGAGATGGTAGTAGGATGACTTATCAATAGTTATGCTTGGATTGACTTGATTAATTTGAGTTATGTTTAGGGATGTTTAGTGATTACAATTTTTTTTTAAACAACAAATATGATAGTATAAGAATTTGAACTTTTGAGTTTAAGGAAATAGATCTAACTAATGTAATATTGACAATATAAATGTTTAAGTTATTAATTTAAATCATTTTTATAAAATATTTAGATTTTTCTGATTTTTTAAGAATGATTTTGAGTTAGGTGCTTTTTAATTGAATATTTTCTGAAGTTGTCTAGAACCTTTCTTTAGAAGTTGCCAAAAACATATTTAACGGTACTCAAAATACTGAATTTTAGACATTTAATTCTTTGCCATTTATAGTTTAGAAGAAAAAGATAATATTGAATTCATTCAAAGGTATGTAATAGGTATTAGATCTATAGATTAGTCACCGTAGGCTAAAATTTTGTTAGAGTGAGAAAATATGTATTATTGGTGTAAAACCAAGTAGTTTCTCACAAAGAAATTAATTTAAAGTATTTTGAATTTTTTTAAAAGTAGTTCTATATTATATTAAAATATGATAATTTTGAGTAAGAAGTATTTGGTTGGTGGTAGTGGTCGAAACTTCATTTCTTTACACGTACAAATTATAATGGTCCCATCAAAAGCATCAAAAGCATTAAACAAATTAACTCTGCAAAAGTGTTCATTTAAATGGTTATGAATAAACCCAAGTGCATGTCAACCCCACACAAGCAGTCAAGAACACTCCTAGAGTTCAATGATCTTTTTGCTATTGTTTTTTTTTCGTTCGAAAGAATATGCAAAGATTCAATTAGCAACGTCACATGAGATTTCTCTTTCTTATTCTTAAACAAGCTCTTGAGAGGACTTAATTTAGTTGATCCATAATTTATGTTTCGTCTCTCACGGAATGCGGGCCACGAAATGGTATAGTCCAACTACTTTAGGCAACAGGAAATGAGCAATCTAAATCACTATCAGCATCTTCATTATTTTAAGTTGCTGATTTCAAATCTATCAAATTGATCAATGAATCTTTGAGGATCTACTATTGCCATTTGCCGGTAGTGTGAGTGAGTGATAGTGACTTGGAAGGGTGTGGCTAAGTGTTAACTGTTAATACTAATACAATACATACAATTACAGATAAACCAAACATGGCCTTCCATTTTACAACAAAGTAACAAAACCCAACACCCTAGCTTTTCTTTTCTTTCATTCCTCCTATCGTCTCTTTTTCAGAAGGAAAAAAAAAAGTAATTTCCGAGACTATTCATGTAATTTTACTCTTTAAAGCTTTTCCTCTTCCAAAGTTTGCGATCTGATCGGACGACTTATGGTTTTGCATCTTTATGCAAACATTGCTTTTTGCTTCTTTTTTTTTCTAAAGTTAAATTGAATCTCAAATATACAATGCCCCAGGGAGAGAGAACAAAAGAGATGGCCTTGAATGCTGCTGCCTATAAAATTCAATTCATTACAGATCTCTCTCTTTATGCGTGAGCAGACTTAGAAACTAGAGAATATACGGATTTGTGAGTGATTGTAGTGCAATCTTCCCTTTCTCTCTCTCAGCTCCCAACTCCCATGGCTGCAGCTTGTGTTTGGCAATGGCATATAAAGGTCCTCCTCACATCTCTCACACTTGCTCTCCTCCTTTCTGTTTGTGTTTCCTCCCACACTCCATCCCTCAAGGCACAAGCTTCGCTTCTGGTCTCCATCAAACAATCTTTTGATCAACCCACTCCTCTCCTCCGCCACTCAAATACTTCTAATCATTCCTTCTCACTCCCAAAAAAGGGTTCCGAGAGCCGAAGAAGGCAAGAAGAAGAAGTGAAGTTCTCAAGAAGCTTCAGCAGCAGGTGAAACTTGAGCTGATATTCATCAGCTTCTCCTCTTCCCTCTTTTTCATTTTGTAATGAGCTTGTTAGTCATTCTACTCCCCTTTTCTTGTATGACTTTAAGTAGCTAAGTAGCTAAGTTCTTATTGTAAAGGGAGGAAGTTCTGAACTCATTTTGGACGGTAAGGTGATGTATACTTGAAGTTGTTTTTAATGCTTGATTTTCAATGTGTTTGATCGACTGAAGTACCTCGTTATTTACTCTTGGAAATTGTAATAGAGAGTTTTTGAATTTCAACTCGTGTTAGATCTAATTGAGTTAGAGTGTAAGTGCTTAGAAATAAGGCTCGTCTAGTAAAACTAGAAACTCAACTGATATGCTGTTGGTTTTTAGTTAAAACTTAAATAGCAAAAACTCTGGAAAATCTAGGAAGATTACATGTCTATTTTGTCACCAACATTGTTTACGTGAGGTTAGAAGAAGTCACATAAACTCTTCTCCTTACCTTTTATACACCAATAGTTAACCATTTTTGCTCACCTTCCTATAATCAAACTGATTTTGCTTGTTTTTCTACTTGTTCTTACTCAACAAATCCTTTAAGCACTATTTTGTTTAAATTCCATAGTCTTTACTCAACCATGTATTTGTTAAGTTGGTTTGTTTTCAAGTAATTGTTTGAAATATTTAGTTAATCAATCCTTGTGGGTTCAATATTTTATTACTTGCTACAACGATTGTGTACTTGAAGAAATTGCAAATAGCGTCTCAGTTCACATATGTGATACATTGAATCGCGGGATTGCGAAAGAATCCTACGCACCATAGCGTCTCTATCGTTCCTTAGCTTCCTCAGGATGCACGCTTTAGAAGTTATAAATCGTTCAACATATGTTTACCTTCTCATTGAGCCAACATCCATCCAAGAGAAAATCAAACGATTTTGAAACCAAAAAAATATATATATATCTTAAAAAATTTGTTGTCATGCCCCTTTTAAAATTACTAAAATACCCTTCTAAAAGTCGTTTTTTACGTCATTTTTCTCGTCCGTTTAGCTTTTCATCCAGCCAACATCCATACAAAAGAAAATCAAACATTATGGAACCAAAAAACTCAAAAATTAACGCCATTTCCTTTTTACAAAAATACCAAAAATACCTTTCTAAAAATTCATTTATTGTGCCACTTTTCGAGTCTGTTTACCTTCTTATTTAGCCAACATCTATACAGTCTATACTGGAGAAAATCAAATTATTCTGAACAAAAAAAAATCTTCAAAAATTAATGTCATCCCAATTTTTAAAATTACCAAATTATCTTTCTAAAAAGCCCTTTTTGCGTTACTTTTGGCGTCGGCTTTCCTTCTCATCCCGCCAACATCCATATCAGGGAAAATCTAGTGATTCTCAAAAAAAATTCTTCAAAAATAAGTGCCATGTCTCTTTTTTCAAAACTAACAAAATACCAAAATCAAGTGATTCTGGAAAAAAAAAATTCTTCAAAAATTGCAATTATCCCCTCTTTCAAAATTACCAAAATGCCATTTTGAAAAAATTAAATTTTTATTCTACTCTGCAGGTCCATTTACTTCTCGTTTTTCTAACATCCATAGAAAAGACAAATAAATGGTTTTATAACAAAAAAAGAAAAAACTTAAAAATTGCAATTATGACATTTTTTCAAAATTATTAAAATACCCTTCTGAAAATTTTTTTTTTAGTTTTTATGCTACTTTACACCTTCACTTACCTTCTCGTTTTGCCAACATTCATAAAAAATACAAATAAATGAACTTAGAACCAAAAAAAACTCAAACGTTGCAATTATGTCCTTTAAAAAATAGAGTTGTAATGCTACATCTGATATAAAATTGATTTACTTTTGATATAACTATAATATATACTACTATTGGTGATATAGAACTGATTGACTTCTGATATACTATTGATTTACTTATGATATAACTATGATTGACAGATATACTACTGATATATATGTGATATATGTTTGATATACAGATATGAAATTGATTTACTTCTTATATAACTATGTGATATCTACTACTATAGATGATATAGAACTGATGGACTTCTGATATACTATTGATTTACTTCTGATATTACTATGATTGATATATATACTCTTGACATATATGTGACATAGGTTTGATATACATATGATATAAAATTGATTTACTCCTGATTTAACTATGATATCTACCAATTATTTCGAACATATTACCTTTAATATATATTTTCTGATATACTACTAATATATGAAATACTTTTTTTTTTCAAATAAAAGCAATGGTACAAACACGAAAAATGAAATAAAAGAGCATTGTCGAAAATGTTGATGTCGTTCGTCCCAAAAAACAACATAAACCGACGCCAAAAGTGTTGTCTATTGAAAAACGGAAAACTTCAAAGATATTATCTCCGAAGACACGACAATCACCAAGAACGAAGATTGATGTCCAAAGCTTTCACCAAAGATTATATAAGAATGAAACTTGCGCTTTTCTAAACTGTTGGAACTTATGCTTCTTCATTTATAGAATTTTAAGAATGACATTGTTAGTCTACTTTTGGTTTATGCTACTGGTTCGTTTGAGGTTTAAACCTTTAAGTTTTTGGTTGAAGGACTTTACTACTGATTTGACGTTGATATTTAAAACTTTAAATAAAACTTAATTGTACTATTGATATATATATACGATGTATGCTTGATATATCACTGATATATTATTGATATACAGAAAAACCCTAAGTTTCTATTTACCTATAATTTCTAATTGATTTCTCATTCACAGTAACGTCAAAAATTACCATTAACGTTCACATTCACGTTCCTTTCAAGTTTTCTTTCTCATTTGTAGTAAGTATCAAGTTTTCTCATGCATGCCAATACCTACCGATTTCTAATTTATCAAAAAAAAAAATACAAGACAAATGGTTAAAGCAGGTAAAATAGTGATTTACTACAACTTATATAGAACTGATTGACTTTTGATATACTATTCATTTACTTATGATATACTAATGTTGTCAAATAT